ACCAAACATCAAGGCTGTTCATCGCACCAAGTGGATCGAAAAGAAATTAAATTACGAACTCGACAAGCGATTAAACATGTCCAACATGTAAGAAAAACTGTTTAATAAGCACAATTTAAAAACACAAAGGTCCTAAGCTGCACAATGAGGCAGAGATGAAGACATTTCAACCATTTATCTGTTACTTTTAAGTGATTGTTTCAAGTATTTATCCTTTTCTATTTTAGTTGTTTAGTGATTTCTTTTTGGATAAACATTTAATACACTTGACTTAACACTCAGTCGCTAGCTAGCCGTTTTAGCTATTTATTAACAGCTTTTTTCATCTGTTTATCCATTACTTTTAGCTGATTGTTCTGTTAGCTAACTATTTTTGCTGTGTATTCATCACTTTTAGCCCAAATTTTCTTTTAACTAAGTATACAGCGGTCTATCCATTACTGTTAGCCGACTGTTTCTTTAAGCTAACAATCTCAGTTGTTTCTCCATTGCGTTTAGCAAACTATTCCAGCTGTATATCTATTATTTTTAGTTGATTATGTCTACTAGCTACCTGTTTTAGCTTTTACTTTTAGTCAGTCGTTCCTTTTACCTAACTATTTTAGCTGTGAATCCATTACTTTTAGCTAACTGTTTGTTTTAGCTAACTATTTCTGCTGTGAATCCATTACTTTTAGCTAACTGTTTGTTTTAGCTAACTATTTCTGCTGTGAACTAATTACTTTTCACTGATCTTTTCTTTCAGCTAACTATTTCAGCTGTATATCCATTACATATAGCTGATTGCTTCTTTTTTATGTGTAGTCTGCCTGTTACTTTAGGCTGTTTCAATTTTTAACATACTACTTTTCGCTAACTTTTTTTAAAAATTCTGTCTTTTAGTTGAGTTAAATGTAACTGTCGAATAACCGTCTTTGGAAAACAGTGCATTACAGAGCAGGTTCTCCAACACTCCTCGATGCCTTTCGTAGGAATCTGCCTTTATGTGTTTGTGCCGGTCAAAGCACTTATTTGAGACTCTGCCATTATCTGAATGCCTTCTTTGAGAACTGACAGCACTTCATAATAGTGCTGACTGTTTTCCAAAACATGCTGTAATATCTTCAAACCCAATCGATCACAGTCAACATCATGTCTGCTTTTGTTTTTGTAACTGCCATTGCAGCTGTGTTATGATAAAGTTAGAAGTGCAGATTGATCTGAAAAGTCTCCACTGTTTTTCCTCCCAGCACTAATGCAACTTTAGAGCAAGTTTCTCGTCTCTGCACATTGATTTCCCAACAATACAAGAAAGTATTGAAACCAATGACTAGCTGGAAGACAGGATGCCATATTGGAGAAAAGCTGAATGCTGTTTTAGTGTATTTCTTTTTACTGCATTTCTTTAGAAGTTTATTGATAAACCAACATGGTATTCATTTTTTAAGGCATCCTTGTTTTGTTTTGCATATACAGACAGGTGACAAATTAGGAGGAAACCTGAAACCTACAGTTTTTACAGCTCCTTTATGCTGTTGGAGGCATTTGTTGCTGTTTTTTGGGTTCATTTGTCCCGTTAGAAGGAAAGGTCACGGCAAAACAACGCAAAGCTGTTCTGATTCTGTTGTTGTTCTGAAAAAAATAATGATTAGTTCCATATATATTCCATTATTAATCATTTCCATCCCAGTCATTTAATATTTAGTATCTGTTGATACAGAGTCCCAGTTCTGTACCATTTTCCGGGATCTTACACACTTTAAGTACATAATTTAAATCGATCTAATATAAATGTGTGAAAATTAAATATCTTTGCAATCCATTAAGAAGAAATTACATTTCTGCCTCCAAACTGTTTCTTAATGTCCTGTTGATGTTCAGAACATTGCTGTGAAGCTCCAGTCGAACACTGTCTAAATGTAGTGTTAGAGGGTGGGATGTACTGAGGCTCCACAAGCTCCTTAAGAGGGAGAAAACCTGGATTCTCTATATGAGGCCAGAAAATGTATCGTAGATCAGCTGTAGTACCTGGTTGCTCCACCAGGTGGAGCCTCTTACTGTTTAACACTGTAGAGACCAGAGGAGGCGTCAATCAGACTACAGACAGTTCATATATTGAGACCTGAGAGCGTTGAGGGGGTTTAGCTAGCAATGGGAACCCTGACAAAGTCTTCTGTGACGCCTAATGACCTCCGACCAGAGCTCATGTGTTTAAGACAAACTTTAAGATGAACTTTGTGCCTAAAATTATGTGTTGTTAACTACAACAGCAATATCATCACAGGACAAATGTCCACTGAGCTCATTTTGGGTTATCAGTTCATCATTTTTTGACTGATAAGTCTGGTGATTTTTGAAGATTATTCGAATTTGCATCGCTAAGCTCCTGACAGAAATTGTACTTTCTCTTTATAACACCTGTGTGACATAAACAAATGCCCGGGCTCAGATTTGTATGGCGTTACTGATCAATTAAAATGCCTTGATCACCATCCCTAATTTTGAAAATGTCCCCTGGTGCCTAAATTTTGTGTTTTCCTTTACATAAATTAGGATATTTTCACCATAAAATGAGGCAGAAAAGGCAAAAATTGGTTGTCAAAAATCTACCAGAATACAAAACATGAAGCGATGACGATAGAAACAAAAATTTGCCACTAGATCTCAACTCAGGTGAACACCTATGGGAGATTTTGGACTGATTTGTTAAGACAACAAATAAGGGAATATCTATTAAAAGATAGGTGTGTTCTATTAATCCAGTAGAGTTCCAGAGATGTAAAGAATCAATGGTAAGGAGCAGTGACGCTGTTTGGTGGCTCATGGTGGTAAACATCTTGCTAAGACACTGTATGTTGGCTTTTCCTTTAATTTGTCACCCGTATGTTGGTTCAACAATGTCTGTCTGTAAAGTAAACATGACTATGGATGACTGAAGTGAATCTCGCTGCGATTCTCTGGTTGGTCTTCTTCTCTGCAGTTGGTATCAGTGTGGGATATGGGTCACGATCAAGAATAGATATTGAGATTCATCCAAAAAACACACCAGCAGCAGCTGTTTGGTGGTTTGGGCCTGAAGCTAAATCTGAATACCACAGAAGAAGACGTGTTGAGCCGAGGACTCTTCTCACTGGTCAAGGTTATCTGTGTCCAGCACACGGCCATTAGCAGGGAGAGCGCTACCATCAACACGGCTGATAAAACCGAATCATGAGCAGCGTTTTAATATACAACAGGCACCTGTAATTAGGACAGTGGGGACCAGATAAGCCAGAAGCATTTAAACATGTGCGTATCCAACTCAAGGCCAAACAAAGACTAACGCCAACCGAGACGACGCTTGACTCGCATAAATTCCCACAAACACAGACCATCCAGCTGTCTGCAGGCTACAATCGCTCCTCTATATGCCTTATTATTATTACACACTTATTATTTCTCAGTCGTTTATCATCTGTTGCCACCACAAACACGACAGTATTTGTGCTACTTAGTGAAATTCCAACAGTTTAAGAGTCTCGTATACATTATTTATAGACTGTGAAGGGAATTTCCAGAACAATGATCCACTGTTGCCTTTTAGTTCTGCAGATTCACATGGATGAATTAAAAATGAGGAGCAAACATGAAGTCATCAAGATTTACAGGAACCTCATTCGTTGGATGATGTCATCACACATAAACATAACTCCAGAAACCAGGCAGCACTTTCCTGCATTTAACCTCAACAGCATTTTTGCTCCAGTCTCATTTTCCCTCACTGTGGATTCATTATTCACTGCAATATAAAGTCCTGCTCCTCTATGGAAACAGAACAACCATGAAGAAGGAGAGAGAAATGTCTTCTGTGCAGGACTTTTTGAAACTACTCTGTACAACTCTAGAAGCTCTAGAAGCTGTAGAAAGATGTTTCACCATGCTGGATGTATCTTCCAACGACTTGTTCCTCTGTTCACTGTTTGAGTCATGCCTTATTTATTATTTTATTGATCTCGTATGTTTGATTTTAAAAATCAATCAGTGCCTCCAACCTGATTCTCTCAGGATCAGCTGCTGTTGTTTGTAAAATAACCTTAACTTATTCAATGAATGATGATAACACATCCAGGGTACCAGTGCTTGTTTCAGTGACTCTGTTCTAGTCTATTCTACTAAACCTCTTCACTTTTGCTGTTAAAACAGCAATATATCCTGTAATGTTGACGCTCAAAAGTTACTCATAGCAAAAGTAAACAAAAACCAGATTTAGTCTTTAGACTGTGACACCTGGATGGATGTTGAATTAATTTGGTGGCAGTTTTTAAACAGAGCTCAAATATGGTTTTCATTTATCAGCCATTGCTCAAAATGTCATAAAATATTTCCAAAATTACACAAAAATCATCCTAAATGTCTCAAAATCTGTCCAAAATGATCCAAAAACCTGTCAAATGACTCAATATTTGTCCAAAATGGCTCAAAGGCTGTTAAAAATGACCTAAAATTAGTTCAAAATGATCCAAAAAGATAGTTAAAAGTTACACAAAAGTTGTCTAGAATGACAGAAGAATTTTCCAAAATGACTCAAGTTTCGATTAGCTTTAGACTGCGACACCTGGATGGATGTAAAACTGATCTGGTTGCAGTTTTTACCAGAATTCAAATGTGTTTTTCATCGTAAAATGTCATGTGTCTATCTGCTGTCCATTAAAGTGATAAATGTGGACCCTCCTTTATGGACTTCAAGGGTCTGGAACTCTGGAAATACTCGTAGTATGAAGGTAAAATTCTGCTTCATTAAATAACGTTACTGTGGATAAAGAAGCAGCTGATTCTGAGGAGGTTGATTTTATACATATAATGACACATAAATATGATTTGATGGAGAACAGAATAGAAATGATAAACGTTGTAAGGATAAAATATAAAGCAGCTGTTTTGAAAGGAGATTCAGAGGCTGTGTTGATACTAGCATGTTAATTTTCCTACATTATGCAGACGTCTGCTTCATCAGCTGCAGAGATAACTGAGGATTTAACTACCTTTTATGGTCCTCTGGTGAGCTGCAGGGTCTGTTTGGACACTTTCTGGCTGGACGTTGGGAGATCTTTGCCACTTTGATTTCACCTTCAGCCTAAAAGGACACATCAGAGTGAAAAACAAACATGTTTACTGGTGTTTTCTCTGCACACAGCTTTGATTCCTGAACTGTTTACTGGCGCAGGATGCATCTGAGGCCATATGGAGGATTAATAGTAGCAGCTTTGACTCTGCAGCATCAGCACCCGACTCCCTTTATAGTCACTATAAAGAGTTCCTTCATTAAACCTCCGAGTGGCTGATCTTCAGCGGCAGGGAGCAAAACAACCAGAGAAAGCAGCAAACGGCACAAAGTAGCAGCACTGAAGTCAGAATTTAACAGCCTTCATCAGCACGCTTCAAAAAAAATAAATGATGTTTTGGCAAAACATTATAAAAATGCTGTCAAATATGGGCGTCCTGGGAGCTCAACAGGTTGAGCGGGTGACTCATGTATAGAGGCTGAAAGTCCCCGACGCTGCAGCCATGGATCGAGTCCAACCCATGGCTGATGTGCTGCAGGTCCATCCCCACTCTTCTCCCACCTTTACTTTCTCTCTTCTCTAACTTCTGGAATCAAAGGCCAAAAACATAACATAATAATGTCAAATACCTGCAAAAAACTATTACTATTGTGCAGATATTTGACTTTTTTTTATAAACATATACAGCTTTATTTTTATTTCTTTGATAGAATTGCTGATAGAATTGCACAGAAACAATGATTTTGACCAAAAACTGGTTCTCTGTCTGCAGCGTCCTGCAGGTGTTGCCACCACAGAAGGACACAGAACTTATTTAAATTTAAATCAGTACCACAAAGCTCTATGTGCAAAGTGTAAAGTCAGATCTGCATGGCATCAAAAGCAGGACTTTACCAGTGTTACACCACATGAGGACATTTCCAAAGGACGTTTTTTTATGAAAGTTATTCTTCTTTTAAATAACAGAACAGCAAATGATTTTTTTAATGATTTAAAAGCTGTAAAAGTCATTTATGTTCAAACATTAAAATAATGAATTCCTGTTTTTAACAGTAATGGTCTTTAATGTGTTTTTTACAGCTAAGGTGTTTTTCTTCTGTGATTTTACAGGATATTATCCGTAGTTCAACGAAATGGAAAAGACTGTAAAATCGCAAAAAAAACATACAACAATATGTTTCCTTCAAATAACAACAAATATCTGTAAAATAATATTAAAATGATGATGTGTGTTTTTAAGCTTAATACGTAAATTAATGAGTTTCTTCTGTGAGGTCTATTATTCACTATCTGTAATAACAAAATAAGTAAAAATGGAGAAAAGAGCAGTTTTAAAAATGATTTATCATTTTTGAAATCCTTAATATACAATAATATCATTTAAAAAATGAATTGTATTTATTTATTTTATGCTGATGCCTTTCCCTACAAAATCCTCTCAATCTTTCTGGGATGATTAATTCTTTCAGGTGTTTATGTCATCTGGTGATTTTAAGCATTTATTAGACCAACTAGAGAAGAAACTAAAGTCCTCAGCGGGACTGAAAACAGGGAGGCTGCAGTTCATCGACAGTGCCTTACAATAAGCTAAAATGTTGCTCTAAATAAAAACATTTAACCGAATGTGAAGAGGATCCATCGTCTGTGGAACATGAATGTCTGCAGCACATTTCATGGCAATAAAACTAATAATTGTGAAGATATTTAACACTAATTAACCCCGGCTCCAGAAAGTTTGACTTGATCCTGCTTCACCTGCTCAGGTGAGATTCTGCTGTGACCGAACGTACCAGCGGCAGCGTCAGAACCAGGTGTCCGGTGGTTTGGGACCTCTGAGCCGTCGAGCTGTCGGGCTTCACTTCAGCCGGCAGGACCATCTGAAATATCTGCACAGTAAATTATTCATAAGTTTAATTAGGAAGATTAATGCGCTGATCTGGCACCGCCGCCGTCCCACTGTGTCAAATGACTTTAATCATTAGTGGGTCTTTTTATAGGAACACTTTCCAGAAAGGAGTTGGGAGAGCGACAAGAATAGCTCCGAATGAGAACAGCAGCAATCAATCACTGCAGCGAAATCCTGAGGAAACCAAAATGAACAGGGTGGGAGGACAAATTGGGCATAAAATTAGACTTTTTCATTTTTTAATTTACTTTTACTTCTCACTGAGGGGGATCTGAGGAATAACCACAGAAGGAAAACTCCAAAAATGCAGCAGTCCTCTGATAATACACTGTAAGAAAAAAAGAAAAGTTCTGTAGAACATCCTGAAAAATAAAGTCAGAACAGAGAAAATCCAGCAGCAAAAGTTCCAGAAAAAACACATTAAACAACTGTGACACACTCTAATGTTTAAGAACTGTGAAAACAACAAACAAAAAACAGCCAAATTGTTTTAAATATAGTAAACAAATTGTGTCATTTTATGGACATAAAAAAAATTACTATTTGTAAAAACAGGTATTTTAAATGTTTTCTTTTTTACAATCAACATGTACAGCGCTGGGCTGCAAAGTGGAACGGTGGTTAGCATTATTGCCTCGCAGCTAGAAGGTCGCCGGTTTGTGTCCCGGTGAGGACACCTGGGATCTTTCTGCGTGGAGTTTACATGTTCTCCCCGTGCAGCGTGGGTTCTCTCCGGGTTCTCC